GCCTCCCGGGAGAGGGGCCCCCACCCCTTTCAACAAAACTTTCAAAGTTAATTTTAATAATTTAAACTAAAAGTTTTTCATAATTTTTTTATCAGTTTGGGGGTTTCTGATGGCGCTCTATCCGAATCCGAAGAGAGCTAAGCTCTAGCTCTTTTCCCCTTCGAGTTGAATTCGGCTTCGGACGGACAGACAGACGGACACGTCAAGAAAATTATTATAGTGGATGGGCCCCAGTAGGTTCCATGTTTCTAGACCTGTATCTTCGTGAACACCTAAGTTCCTATAGCCGTTTATATACCAAAATGCTCGTCATTAAGTGCACTTTCCGAGACCGTCTACATACTCAAATTTAAAACGATAATCGCCGGATAATCCTAAAAAAGTGTGATTTCTTTGTTAAAATGGACTTTTGCAAAAAATTCCCTGAAACCTTTCGAGTCCAACCAAGTATAGGAAAGTCATGTACACTTCAATGCTGCTTTATTGAAAATATAAGTCAAATCCGAATGTATGATTTTTGCAGAAAAATTCGGGGTGAACCTATCTTTATGACGCGGGTTCCAGTAAGCCTTTTTTGAGATAAAATTCCTTCAAAATCTAGAAGCCTTTTCTAACTAAATGGATAATGGCCTTGAAGGTTTTGAGTTATGCCCTAACTGATTACAACGCCCGTTTTATCCGAAACTTATTCTAGATTAACAAGCTGTCCTAAAATGGGGTGAACCTATCATTATGACGTAGACTGTATTAGCCCGCGAGGCGCTCAACCAGCCAAATATAATGTCGCAATTATTAAGAAAAGTGAAAATTTAATCAGAAATTACGATTTTGACAAATATGTTTAAATTAAATGCCCAAATTCCAAGGCATTCTTTTGTAGAGCCTACAAAAATTTTAGAAAACAACAAACACATTACAAACAAAAGTTTTTTAAAACATAATTCCAGACAAAAATTCTCGGCGCCGCCTCCCAACCACCCACCTTCCAATGCGTGCTCCGACACATGCCGGCTTTTAGGAACTTCTGCGGATTGTTGATGTAGGTCTCAAGCTCCATCAATATCCGTTAATAGGGGGATGCCAAATACCTAGACATTTCGCGGTTCTTGGCAGTTAGCGGGGCGGCTTTCTGTTTTTCCACCCACCTATTGCCGATAGCTTATGTATTTTTATGGGGATTTTAATAGTTTTCGACTGTTAGAAAATTAGAACTGATATTTTCAAAAAATTTTGAAATTCACTCAAACTAATTCACACAAACATAGAAACCCAAAAATTTTCGATCATTTTCCTTATTTTTATATCTAGAAACTATGTAAGGTTTTATAACCATGTCCTAGATTCTGTTATAGTGTCGTAGCGAAACACATGAAAAAATTTGGCGTGCTGACAATCCAAAAGCTATAGCGCTAGCCGTCAAGGACCTTTTTCAACTTAAAGATGACGATTATTAAAACAAATAACGCAAAAAAATTAAATCGGAATACAAGGCTTCCCAAATACTAAAATACGCTCCAACTTGACCCCGAAGTATCGGATCGGAACGATAGTTACACCATTCGAAAGCCCTTGCAGTTTGTTGCTTTTCACCATTTTTCGTCTGAAGGCGCTATTTTACAAGCCATTTTGTAAAATTTTGCGGTTTGTCGGGGTCGCATCCGAACTAATTTTCCGCAATTTCACCAGACAAAACGACCGGAAGTAGCCGTTGATTAGACGCAAATTCCGTTCCTTAATGTTTTAACTGCGTTGTAAATTACCGCACTTAAATAAAAACATGGTTTAAAAACTCTTGCAAACTTGTCATTTCAAGGACTTTTGAATGGTGCAACTGCCTGAATATCTCCGGCATGGTTGACCTCCTCGTCAAGGCCGGTGAACTTTTCCCGGCCCGGGTCAGAAAACGCCGCTACAAGCAAAAGTGAGTTACTTGGGCCTTTATCCCGACTCAAACGGCATAGGATGATCGATCCTCAAACGAGATTCAACATCAAAATTAGCATATATCACTCCCTCTCTCACCTCTCTCTCTCCCTCTCTCTCTCTCTCTCTCTCTCTCTCTCTCTGTCTCTCTCTCCTTATTCCTGGTCATTGCAACTAATCGAGATTGGGTGCCTTACAGGGCATTACGATTTTACGTTCTTTCGCAACGGAGTCAATTGTGTTTTGCTTCTCGGCAGTAGCCGTTTCGTTTTTGACCAGTAATTTCAATCCCCGCACGCGTGAACTTTGACTTCCGAGCCCCTTTAAGTCGGTAAACTGCTGGAGCTAGAGGCTATACGTCAGGATTTTTGTTATAGCAAAAATTTTTACGAGCGTTGCAATCAACGAAAAATGCTGCGCTAGGATAAGCTTAGTCCCAACCGGAAACGCCGATATCACCCAACATAATTTCCTTGTTAGATTAGGCAGCACATCCCCAGGCTCAAACGAAGATGAAAGAACAGTTTCAGACTACGTCATGGTCTTGCGACAATTCGAAGCCATCTTCAATACGCCGGCGGCAGGCGGATCTGAATTTATTTTGTACCAATCGTGCGATGCAAAGAGGCCAAATTAAATTATAGTAGTTTTCCCCCTAACCACTTATCCGGTCGTATACTCAATGAATATATTTTTGCTACAACTTTTCAATTTTTTGAAAGAATTTATGGCGATGCCCCGGCTATTCGTGATGATAAAGACATGTATAAATATCGGGCAAGGCGATGCATGCGATGGAAGAAAGATACACGCTGCAAAAGTAAGGCGCGAAAATGCGTCCCGTGAGGCGCTGAACTGCTCACTCTCTTTCGAGTGGCGCGGCTGCCAGCACACCTTCGGCACGGCTGCCGAATGTCGCGCCGGCAATCGGGCCGAAGAGGGCCGCGGCACGGTGCCGGCACACCGTACGCTTATTTTTCGGCATATAAAAACAGCATTGCTTATTTATTTATTGCGTTTAAGTGATGATTGAAGCATGTCACCGTCCGTCGCGTAGTCACGGAAGCCGCAGTAATAACTAAATTAGTTCGTTTCTTTGGCTTTATGTTGTTGATAAATCGGAGCCAGTGTTTTTCTTGGTGAACCTACGATTAAACGTTGAAGATAGGCGTGTCGAGCATATTGTAGTGTTGGCCTAGTAACTACATTCTATTCGATGATTGCTCAAGCGGTTCAAAACTACTTACTTTCCTCAGTCTCTGTAGCTTGTCTAGTGGATCAATCAACATTGAAAACTAATTCCGGCGTCAGAAAAGCACCACTTTCGGATTCAGCGCCTGAAAAAAAAATGGTAAATTCTACCCACCAAACAATTTTTGTTTGTAATATGAGGCAAATATCCAAATTTTCAATCTCAGTAAGCTACCGGGCAGGATTGCCGATCGAAAGGCTTCTATCTAAATTCGATTAGCAATGTACCTGCTAGATATCATCAATTCAGTCAGTTCTTCGACCATGAAGCATGCTGATCGACTTTTCTTGCCTCACACTTGTGGTCAAAAGGTTTCACCTGAAATCTCGAGCGTATAACAACCAAGTTATACCTATAAGTAAGTAAGAAACCGCGTAGCTGAAGCGTGGTGCCTATTCCTTCTTGGAGATGACATAAATGCAGCAATATAATAAGTTTTGAAGAATTATTTTGACAAAAACAATACTTAGCGCCAGGCCAAAATTTTTCTAAGTTCTGACGCGTCGCGGCGAGCGACAGCGGTGTGCCGGCAAGCGTGCCGCGCAGCGGTGCCGGCAGCCGCGCCAAATACCGTGCCGGCAGCCGTGCCGAATCTGGCCTCCCCGGCCCCGTCCGAGCTGCGCCGGCAACCGTGCCGAAGGCATTCCCGGCAGCCGCGCCGAATTTTAGCTCGCCGGCAACCGTGCGTCGTGCCGGCAGCCGCGCCACTTGAAACAGAGCAGCGCGTGGAGCTGCTTTTCACGTAAAACAAACGTAACAAACGCCAGCGAGCGAGAGAGAGAGTGAGAGAGAGTGCGAGAGAGTAAAAGATAGAGACAGTAAGAGATAGTGAGAGAGTGCAAGAGTGCGAGAAAGTAAGAGATAGTGAAAGAGAGATAGAGTGAAAGAGTGAGAGAGTGGGCGAGAGTGAGAAAGAGGGGGAGTGAGAGAGAGAGCCGCAGAGTCCCATGGCGTGAAACTGTCAATCCTTTCCCTGATCCTCGGTCTTGTATTGAAGAGCACCTGTGCGGAAAAGAGTTCGACTCCTCCACGAAAAAGATTCGCGGGTTCGACTCCCGCGGTGCGCAACCCCATTTTACCATGATTCGAAACCAACGCCTAGATAAGACGCAGACAAAAATGCAAAACAAAAATTTTGAAAATTATTAGGCATCCTAGATTTGCATTCAAGTAAGGGAAATTTAGGCATCCGGCTGCACATTGATGGGTTTTTGCGGTTGTCTTTCCGTTTTTGTCGTGTGACACAACGGCCTTCTTCATCCTCGCTTTTGACAGCATCGCATTCATTCGGTATTTTGGTACTGTTTTATTTTAAGCCGGGGGGAAAAACCTGTGGGGGAATTTGTGATTAAAATTCTTTGTATCTTTTTGGCGCTCGTTCGGATGGCGGTCAAGAAAAACACAGAGGCCAGCTTTTGACTTAAAAAATCCCCCCCCCCCTACAGCCGAAGGGTCTTAAAGTTTTCGGTATTTTCGGTTATTTTGTCGGGATTTTTGCAACGCAATTCGATAAATCGTAGAAACATATCCTAGGAGCCCTAATTTGAGCCTAGGTAATGTAAAATGAAAAAAGTTATAGCAAAACATTCCGGCTGAGGGGCGGGGGGTGAAGTAAAGTGTAGCCATTTTCTCAAAGATCATCCTTTTTTGGTAGGAAAATCAAAGTCACTGAAAGCAACCCGACACAGTTTTTGCCCCAATCAAAATTGCACAACGTTAGTTTTTCCAGTGCAAATTAGAAAAGAGCGGTTTCATGCATGTATGGAGTTTTTTGGGCATAACCATGCCTTTCAGGGCAAACAAACCGCCGTCCACCGTCTTTCTGATGGCGAGCCCCGCCTCGTCCAACGGCGATTTCTTCTCTCACGCCCATGCATTGGCTGCAGCTCTTTTCGATGTCCCGGCCATCATCCGCGACAAGGTCGACAGGCCATTGACCATCGGTCGGTATCATTATTTGGTCTCGATGCGGCTCGATACGGCTACGTCTCATTTCGACCCTTGGCAATTACGATGTGACCTTCGTTGGCCATTTGTCATTTCTGATACATTCTTACGAAGATTTGATGGAAATATCTATGAAATATCATTTTTTTTCAGCCAATTCGGCCTCACAGTCGTCTGTTTCGAGCGCGTCTACCTGCTCCACGGCCATCGCTTGCCCCGAGAAAGGTATTTCTTGTTGAACTCTTGGCCTCGGTTGGAGGCGTCATTTTTTGGGCCATGTTTCGTTTTACGGTTACTCCGTATTATTGGCAGGCAAGGCAGCCAAAATTTTGGTTCTGGAATGTTAGCCGCGGGCGGGACTTTTGGCAAGGGCAAAACGACTTTCAGTACTGTTCTATTTGGCCGGGGGCAAAAATCTACGCCGGGGGGGCAATTTCGAATTTTTTGCCATAAATTTATTTTACATTATTCCGGGCTAAAATTAAAACTCGTTGTATATTTTTTGAAGCTCTATCGAATGGCGTCTTCAAAAAAACCGAAAAAATAGTAAAATTATCGAAAACTAGAGTTTTAACCCCATTTTCATATGTATTTTTGATTTTGCTAAAACTTTTCAGCCTGACATTATTTTGCGCTATTATTTAACTTTAGTATATTTTTCAATGTTTTATCAAATGGTATGATAAAACCCTGGAAAAACTAGCGAAAATAACAAAAACGCCCTCTGCGGTTTTGCCCCCGGCGTAGATTTTTGCCCCGTCCAAATAAAACAGTACCCGACTTTCTATTTTTAAAACTATTTCCACCTGTTGATGTATTTTTATGATGTTTTTGGCGGCTTTGGATTGCTAGAACATTATAAAAAATATTTTTAACAATTGACCTTTTTGGTCATTTTTCATACTTTTTGGACCAAAAAGTCAACGGTTTTCGAAAATTATGCTGAATTTTATCAATTGCTTTTCCATCTAAAAACTATGTAAAATGCTATAAAAATTATTTATATTTTGTTAGGGCCGTAGAGAACCACAGCTGGTTTCTTTCCACACGTAAAAAATCCCCCACCCGTCCCCACCCGCCCCCGCTGACAGCCCAGAATCGAACTTTTTGGATCCATCTAGAAAAGTCTAGTAATTTGATAGGTAGTGCTTAATAATGTTGGCAAAATATAAAACATAACATAAAACATATAACATATCTCAACCAAAAAACCATCGAAATCCTACTATATATAAAAAAATAATGTCTGTGTGTTTGTATCTGTGTCTGTGTGTGCCACTTTGCATCCACTTCCGTCTGTCTGTCCGGAGGATATCTCGATAGGGAATGGATTTGAAGGTATGTATGATACGTCATTAGGTGCGCAATGGCCTGGGAGATGACTGCACGCTCTACAGATTTAACAAAATTACCTATTTTCGACATTAAATTTAAGTTTTTGTGAAAACTTATTTGTGAGGAATAATTATCATAGGTCGGAAGTTGGGATGCGACTTTATAAATGGGCAGGAGAGGTTGTTTTACATTTTTTGTTATCCGAATTTAGGGAAATTATGCAAAGTGAAGACATGGGGTGAAGACAATAACATGGGATCAGACGGGGCCAGGGTTGAAAAGTCGCGAAGCTTTTCAACCCTGGTTTTGCTTAATAATCGGCCTTTTTTGTCGAAAAATCTATGTTTTTGATATTTTTATGGAATATTTATGAAATTTTTACGCTCGGGAATAGTAAAAAACGGTTTAGGAAAGATTCCACTATTTATATTTGAAAAACGGGGTCCTACGAAAAGAGTCACACCCGCTTCGCGCCCCCTTAATCAGCACCTCATCTTACTTTCCAGTTCTCCACACCCTGCCCACTGAACTCTTCCACGTCATCCTACAGCCACTGGATGCGGAGACCGTCCTCCACCTCGCTGGCATCGATGGCGAACTCGAGTTTCGCGTCGAACAAGCCCCGAAAAGCTGGAAGGTTGTCGACTCGGTTCCCGAAGGCCTCGTCATCGACTACCAATTCGTCCCTGATCGCTACGCGCATGCTTTGCTCAACAATTCGAGGGTGGCTCGCCGGGACCATACATACATGGACAAGATGCCGATCTGCCGCCGCCTTCAAGATTTGCCACTCGCAATCCTGGGCATCGTCGCGGACGAACTTACCGGCGAGGACTACTTAGAGGCCGCGAAGGCGTTGCCGCGCTTCATCTACACTGGGCGCCTCGTTGGTGAATATGGGCCAGTTAGTGTACTTATTTTTAGTCAATTGCTTGTAAATTTTATTTCAAAGCAAATCTAGACGGAGCTGGACGGTTAACAGGGGGGAGGGTGCAAATCTATATTTTTTCGGCCACCTGTTAGTAAAAATACTGTATTTTTATTTAGAATTTAGACCTTTTTCTTTCATAAATTTTTCATCAAAGTGGCATTCTTAAAAAATTATCTTATTTGCCTTCACAAAATTTTATTTCCTAAAATCAAATTATTTCGCAGTTTGGGTCACTTGGAAGGAATGTGGAAATAGATCCTCCAGCTGGAACCGGCTAAATCCCACAGTTTTTTTTTGTTTCCGGGTATTGACGACAGCATGTTTTTCAGCGTGGTCCATTACCCGAAGTCTGCTTGGTCCCATGTAGAACAGCCAACTTAAGGATATGCAGTTCCGTTGTAACCCCCCCCCCGTTAACAGTCCCGTACCAGCTCTACCAAAAGCTTCAAACAAAAAATATGAATTAGCTGCACAAGGAGTCATGATAATTCTCCCCACCTTGTAGGCTCGATCGGGTCACCATCCGGGGCGTCCGCCAACCAGACGGCTCCAAGAAGACCGTTATCCGAGTCGACGGCCGCCGATACGACGATGACATGACGGCATGGCTGATCAACAACGCCAGGGACGTGTACGTGGTCGTATTTGACCCGACGATCACCGCCTTCCCCGACGGCATCCACGTGCCGAATAGCGCTCACTGGCAGCTGATGCCGATTGTGGTGGGTTGCATGCACAGCCAAACCAATTTTCGCCTGGAAGTAGGATTCTACAAGGTGCCCCAAAAAGATCACCTCTAGCCGGCCGCATCCCTATCGGGTTTTTATGATTTGGGTAGTTATCGAGATCTCTCGGAAAGGCGAGTCCAGCAGGACGCTTCGCTTTTGGAAATTCTGGTAATTTTTACTCAATTTTCGACCTTTTTCATCCGAAAAAGAAACGCCTTGTCAAAAACCCAATTTAAAAGGCCGTTTGCCGGAGAGCCGAACTAGGCTTGTCACGTTTTTGACCCCATTTTTTTGATGCCATCTGATAGAGCAATTTCGAATTAGTAGGGCTGCATAGATTCCCCACCGATCGATTCGATTCCCCCACCTAGCCCAATTTCGCGCAGAAAAGATATTTCGTTTTGCTCTTTTTTGTATCAGGCTCGACTTTGCATCAATATCCGATTGCATGCCTCCGGTTGCGAAAAAACCAAGCTATCTATGTTTTTGAGCGGTTTTTGCTAATTTTAGAAATGCCATTTTTTCGATTTAATGGGAATTTGTCGCCAAGTTGAAAAACACATCATTCAATCTCAAATTTAATTGCGCATCTTTTAAGTATATTTCTAGAGTGGCGACAACTTCCTATCAAAAACAGTAATTCTTGAAAACTTATTTGAGTACGCGAGATTCCGATGTTCCGGCCATTTTCATGATTTGAAATGTATTAGAAAAATGATCACCGCCCCAAATTAGGTGTTGTCACAAATTATAAGAAAATTTGGTCAAGGAGTTTTCGAGATAGTTTTTGGAGGTAGTCAACTTTAACGGCCATTTAAACACCAAAAATGAACTTTTTAAACGTTTAAATCTAAACCTTGGTGGGGCTGCCAGGAAAGGCGTAACGTTAACTTGCGATTTTTCCAAGCTTCCCTTCCTGAAAGCTTTCGATAACTACCTAACTCGTAAAAATAGGACACGTCGGCCGCCGGCGGGGGCCGGGGGTGATCTTTTTGGGGAACGCTGTAGAATCTTACCTTCAGGCGAAAGTTGGTTCGGTTGTGCATGAAACCCGGTCTCTGAACTACGCGGTTGTTTATAGACGCAGGATCCGATCTGGCCGGGCCTAATCGATATGATGACCTCCGCATGCCGCCGCAATCTCTACCTCTATGGGCCGCCCCTCGACCAGGCGAAACCGTGCTGGATCGACCTGCTCCAAAACGCCGGGGCGATCGACCGGCGAACGCGCGGATGGATTTCAGCTACGGTATCCTACCATCTATAAAAAAAATCTTGTTTTTGGGTGCTTGCATTCAGCTTTCGTAAGTTTCTAGTTTCGTAGCTTCAGGCTCAAAAATTGGTTTTTCGCCACAAATTGACGAAATTTTTGAATTTTTCAGACATTTTTCTCTTTTTTTTTAAATTTTTTGACCTTGAATATAATTAAAACGTACTAAAAACAATGTAAAAACACCTAAGATTTCATTACTAGGCCGGTAGCGCCAGGAAAAAAAAATCGATTTTCCGTATCACTGGCGGCAGAACAGCGGTAAACCTCCTTGCATTGGTCAAAGTATGTTTTGCAAAAACATCATTTGCAGGTTGAAATCGGCCCAGAGACCGCTGAAGCTCTTCAGTGGCTGCTCCCGTTCAATGGCTCGGAGCTGTGCATCCGCTGGAGGGGACCGGTGACGGATCTCGGGCCGATTCGGAATTTCGTCGAGTACTCCCTTCCCATGACGCTGACGCACGACCAACGAATTCGGGTACGAGCACGAGACGATTTGCTATCATCAAATGAAATCAAGCATAAATAAAACATAAATCAAAATTGCCTAAAAAATGTCCGGGAAAACTAGCTTACGCAAATTTCGACATTATGAATTTCGAAAAGATGAAATTTCGAAATTTCAACAACAATTTCAACATAATGAAGCTCTGCCATTTGGAAAGGAGCCGACAAGAGATCCATGTATTCATCGGTTTTTCGGTTGGGGGTAGTAAAAAAACAGAGCCTTGACTTTCACCATCGATTGCATCTTTTAGGTCATTTTCTCGCCACACCTTCCCGTCGAGATGCTTCGCCCCGACATGTTCAATGGGTTCCGGATGGTTCAGGAAATGGAGCGAGATCAAATTCTCTACACGCTGACGGATGGGACGCAGCCTTTTTATCTGCATCTTAGCGGCTCTACCCTGATGGTCACGGGACGGATCTGGTGGGTTTAGACCTGGGCCAAACCTCAGTAAAAGTTAGGCTTTAAAAAAAAGTTTCTCATTTCTAATTTTCCAGATACGATGAAGCGTTCGGCCTCTACATGCTCCTTCGATGCGTGCGCCCCCACCTCGTCTCTGCGCCTCCTTCTATCTGCACGGCCATAAATCCACCGATTAATCGTCTCTCATTTAATTTGGTGTGCTGAACAGCAATTTCCGATTTATATTTATGTGTTGCGGGTTTTGAAAAGGAATAAAGGGTTTTATTACTTTGTGGAGCAGCTGGAATCCGCAATAAAAAAAAAGAGAGATAGAGAGAGAGAAAGAGAGAGAGAGACCTTAGCTGCCGTAGTTGCGCTACCTCGAACGCCAATCGATAGCTCTCGAGAAGTAGATATACAGGGTGTCCCAAAAAAAAAGACACCGGCCGCATTTCTCTATTTCGGGTCCGATCAACTTGAAATTTTGCACAAAGGTAGCGAAGCCAATTTCCCATGAACACAGAGAGTTTCAGCCCCATTGGTCAGCGGATTTTAAAGTTATAACGAAAATACTTTTTATTTTTTATTTAATATGGGGACTGCTGCAATTTGCATCAAAAATGTCGTAATTTTGTCATTTACGAGCTGATTTTGCATAATTTTTGCCGAAAAAGGCCATTTGCTGTTTTGCGCTTCGTAAGAACGATTGCGCATGGGAAGTAAAAATGATCCACAAAACCCTCAGTTATAAGAAACCAGCATTGTAACATACGTTCACCGGTTGTTTTAATTTATTGTTCGGCTTACGCATAGATTTAAAACCCTCGATCTGACTTTAAGCATTAATTTGGAGCTGGTCGAACGCTGGGTCGAGTCCAAGGCAGGTCCAACTGACCAAAACTTCAATACAATGTGTTTGAGTGCCCAAAAATTTTTGTTTTTACGGTATTTTGTTTGTCATGCGCAATCGTTCTTACGAAGCGCAAAATAGCAAATGGCCTTTTTCATCAAAAATTATGCAAAATCAGCTCGTAAATGACAAAATTACGCACATTTTTGATGCAAATTGCAGAAGTCCCCATATTAAATAAAAAATAAAAAGTATTTTCGTTATAACTTTAAAATCCGCTGACCAATGGGGCTGAAACTCTCTGTGTTCATGGGAAATTGGCTGCGCTACCTTTGTGCAAAATTTCAAGTCGATCGGACCCGAAATAGAGAAATGCGGCCGGTGTCTTTTTTTTTGGGACACCCTGTAGATGGATGTTGAAATCGTCAAAGTTGGAGACTGGATCGCAGAGATATCCCCCTGAACTTTGGTCCGTTTTTTTTAGAATACTAACAAGGAAACGTTCCCAGCTTGAAGTTGGAGTTCGACTAGCTATATAACCTAGCTGATACAGTTCTTCACGCGAACAACGGTACCGGTATTTATTTTTGCCGAGCGCCACAGGATCATGATTAAAAATCGATTTAACGTTTTGCGAGGTATGGCGGCCCCATCTCAAAGCCCCTCCCCAAAGGCAAAAATCCATCGGCGGCCTGGTGTAGTCGACAACTGCGTGGTCTGCCAATCTTGAGGTCGCTAGCTCGAGCCTTGCTACTTTTTTGCTTCAAAAGTGCTGTGACGGTCCTACACCGAACTTTCATCGCTAATTCAATTTGTTCGGTTCCATTCCCCGGAAGGACTGTTTTTCATTCGAATACGCTTGGAATTATCGGTAATCACATGTTGTTCACCAGAAAAGCTTTCAAACGTTTAAAAAAATAGAGGGAAATACTAGTTTCTGGAGCTGTTTTTTCGTCTTCCCCGCATATTCAGTCAAGAAAGAACCAGATTTGCAGTAATCATATGCATAGGCCATCATTCATGCAGCGCTTCGCGCTGTCGCCCCCCCCCCCGCCCCCACCTTCGCACCTGTTTTCAAGTACGCCAGGGAAATTGGTCAGAATTAAAAGCTTCAGATCTCTCTCAATTTAAACCCAGATATTTTGTAATTCCATGGACTGACTGCGCTGACGGATAGGATTCTAAGCATACTGGCCAAATATCGTAAATTCTGGTCAAGAATGTTGCACAGGGCATATGGCAAGGGCAGAAAAAGCCGTAAGGTAGGCCATCGCTTCGACCTTTGATACAATGGTTAGTGGCACCATAATTGCATAGGTCAGATTATTCCGTTTGATATTGTGCTAATCTAACCATCGGAGGTTCGATCCTCGGATATCGTCATTGTTCTGCTTTTTGCACGGAAAGTGCGTTCCGGAGTGGACTTCCTTGTAGGGACGTTATTATGAAGTTAGTCACTCAAACCTGCGCCGCAGCCTGTAGAATGAAGCTACCCTCTCAAGCTAGTGCCGGAGACTTTGGAACGACGCTAGGGCAAGCTTGCGCCGCAGGATTTAGAGCGAAGCTAGCCGCACAAGCCTGCGCGGCAGGCTTTAGAACATAAGCTAGCTCCTGGCTTGCGCCGCAGGCTTTCGAACGAAGCTAGCCTCACAAGCTTGCGCCGCAGGCTTTCGAACGAAGCTAGCCTCACAAGCTGGCGCCGCAGGCTTTCGAACGAAGCTAGCCGTACGCTGGGCTGCACGTTCGAACGAAGCTAGCCGCACAAGTTGCGCCGCAGGCTTTGGAACGAAGCTAGGCAAGCTAAGCAAGCTTGGGTCGCAGGACCTGCCGATCAAACGTGCACCGCAGGCCTAATAACGAGACTAACAGTTCAATCTTGCGCGGCATGTCAATACAAAGAGGTTTGCATGAGAAATGGGTTTTTCTTTCGTCGGGGTAACTCTATGTGGAAGGGCGCTCGATTCAGGGGGCCGAGACGTGGTCCAGCGGGGGAGAGTCGCGAAGTGGCTCCTCCCCCGCTGGTAGTAGGATAATTTATTACAAAGTTAAAGCCAGTTTTATGCATTTGTGGGGTAATTTGCATAATGTGAAAAAAATAGAAATTCTTCATTCTTGCCAGTTGCGTCGCAGGTTTTATGTGTCCCCGTCGCTGGTGGAAATTTGCACTCGATCCGATGGAAGACGGCGAAACGCCCAGGGGGGTTAGGGGGTTTTGGGACGAATTACCTGCATAATGCCAATTTGCTAAATGACGATTTTCATAATTCCGACTATTATAATGCCGATTTTACAGAATGCCGGCTTTCATAATGCCGTTTTTACAGAATGGCGATTTTTATAATGCCGGTTTTACATAATGCCGATCAGTAGAATGCCGATTCTTATAATGCCGATTCCTATACGGCCGATTTGGCGTCTGTTTGCAGGGTGTTAAACGTTTGTCCTCCGATGAATCCTAAGGTTGGGGATTCCATTTTTCAGGAGAACCATGCTGTCGATATTGACGTACCCCCAATACCTTTTGAAATAGCGAAACCCGGGTTTTGGCTACGAGATTAACCTGAATCAAGGACCCCGAAGGAGTCGTTAAAAATTCACTCTTCGATACCTGCTAGGGGAAATTATTTTTATGACAATTTTGTGAGATTTTTGTATAGCATTTAAGGTTAGAAACTTCCTTAGAACGACCCGGAATCAATTACGAAAAACTAGGGTTTGTCGAAAGAAAAATGCAATGAAAAATAACCCGGGGTACAATTCGGATAAGCGGGGGGGAAACCAACTTTTTTTGTCGGCCCTGGTGGGGATAATAATCAAATATAAAGTGTTTTCACATTGTTTTTAGCAAAATTTAAGCCTATTTGAATCGGAAAAACTTTTAGAAAGTTAGAAAAACGCTTGAAAAAGTCGAAAATTTGGTCATTTTTGGGCCGAAAAAAAAAACGATTTTTCGACCTAAAATTAAATTTTTTAATTAAGTGTTGCAAAGTTTTTATGTTTAGGAATAGCTATAAACAATTTAGAAGCACTTCCACTATTTATATAAAAAATATAGGCTTGGGCGGAAAAAAGTTCGGTTTCCCCCGCCTAAACTCCCCCCCGCTTATCCGAATTGTACCTGACCCGGCAAAAGGACGCAAAATCGGCATGATGGGAATCGGCATTCTGAAAAATCGGCATTCTGGAAATCGGCATGATGTTAAATCGGCATTATAAAAATCGGCATGATGTTAAATCGGCATTATGAAAATCGGAATTGTGAAAAATCGGTATTATAATAGTCGGCATCATGAAAATCGGCATTGTGTAAATCGGCATTATGAGTATATAACGTATGATTCGACGATTTAAATAAGCATCCTAGATTTACATTCCCTAAACAAATGTCACGCATCCGCCTGCGCTTCAATGCGTTTTTGTGGTTCATTTTGTGGCGTTTGAGACAACGTCTCCCTTCTTCCTCGCTTTTGTCGGCATCGCGTTGATTCGGTATTTTGATACTGTTCTATTTCGAGCCAGGGGACAATAATAAAGGTCTTAGTATATTACACTGCATCCAATGGAGTTCAAGAAATTTTGTAAATTATATCGAAAATCTCGCAAACAAGCTTTTGACTAAACACCCCAATGTGCAGCTAAAACTACTTTACATCACGGTATTTTGAGATGAAATTCAGACCTTTCCAAGGGAAGGTTGCGAAGGGGAAGTTAGCACTGGTAGTGAAATATAGCTCGGTAAGACTCTAGTTGGCCCCCCCCCTCCAACCCGAACTTTTCAGCCATCCGTCTTCCCAGTCAGCGCGTGGGGTTGGAGTGCAGTCTCTCCCCCCAGCCCAGCTCCTCAGCCATACGTCCTATTAATGCGCCGAGTATCACCAAATGTTCGCCGTGGTCGAATTACTATAAAAAAGTGGTTTCCATGCGACAAAAATTGCTATAATAATTTTTACAAGATTTTGAAAGTTGAAAAGATCCTATTATATATAAAAAAAATAGTGTCTCTGTGTGTGTGTGGGCATTTGCATGCAATTTCCGTGAGGATGTTCCGCACCTACCGCCTTAGGGAAGAATTTTTTCGATTAGGAAGAAACGTCAATAGGTAAAGAAGGGTCCGGAATCGACTGCACGCACATAAAATCTTTCAAAAGTTGCTATTTTCGCTATTAAAAACGAAGTAACAAACTAAAGAACTCCTAGCCAGACTTCTAATTGTTACAAAAATTTTTCTAACAATTTTTGATGTAAAAAAAC